TGTTTCACGCGCTCACGTGTGCATGCGCGTGTCGCGCGTATGCGTGGCTGCGTGTGTTTATAGCTATTTAATATACGTTTTGAAAATAAGTCTTCGTGAATGTGGGCGTAACTTCTTCAGGCCACATAATAGTACGATGTCTTATGACAAGACGGATTAGAATGTGACAGGCGGACCCAAGACGAATTGGACCTGGGCTGGGCGCGGTGTGTGAGTCTTAGCATCGGTATGTCGTGACGAGACTGCGCCTGCTTGTCACGTCCATCGTCATCGTCATCGTCATCGTCAATCGTCATCGTCATCGTCACTAACCTTGTCGCTGATAAAATTTATGCCCTGCCTACGCTGACCACAAGCTATAAATAATGCCCACAATGCTTTACATTTATAATATACATTATATATATATATATACCTATATATATATAATATTGTCTGGAATCTAGGCCATGGCCGCACAATATCTCGACGGCAAAGGCGATTACTATTGGATGTAATAAACTGTGGCATTCCGCGCATCAATCGTGTGTAGGCCGGCGTGGACTGCACGCACATGCAGTGTCGTTACTACACGAGCACGTAGAAACCTTGTGGCTAATGGTGATGTTGGTGGTAGAGAGGGGTACGACGGAGACTACGCCCTCCACCATGAATCACACCTGCCGCCTCGCTTTGTAGCGCGGCAATCTATCAGCTAGATATGGCTTAGGTTTCCGCATGTAAAGAAGATGTTAAAAAATACGCATCGCTTAGTTCAGATAATAACGGCAGGAAGGATACAGTCGTCAAAAGAAAGAGTGTGTGTACTATATATATATATATATATATATAATATATATATATAATATTATACTTATTATATACTACTCTTTTATGATTTTATGTTTATTTGCTTCCGGTAGCTGTATAGGCCTATGTAGTTTACTCTATCAAGCTAGTAATATGGAGCCATAGATACGAGGCATGGGGCCGGCAGAATTATAGGTTTGAGCATGCGGACGTTCATGTTCACGCGGTAGACCAATGATCGCTCTGACGCACTGTTATCAGGTTACACGATGAAGCGACACCTGGCGGCCGTGCTCCTGCTGTGGCTCGGCCTTCTGGCGGCGGCGGCGGCTACTGGATTACTTCCGGCGGAGCAATGCGACGTCACCGTCAGTAGCGGAAAGGCAGTCATCAACCCTAAAGCTCCGATTATCGTCGGCTCCTTCATGGAAATACGTCACGCTGGTGAGTGGCCCCGTAACACGATGACGCCGCTGCGGCCTCGGCGCTTGGCACACTTTTCGATGCCTCCTTTATGCCCATCACCTGCGAGTCATGTGCACAGCTAAGCGTAATTTATAGATGATAACACTTTGCCGTCTTTGTTCATTTGTAAAATATTGAATAGAGTTGATTATTCTTAAATATCGAAAACAAAGTTTATTATTATTATTATTATTTCTTCTTCGTAATAATAATATTATTATTATTAGCAGTAGTAGTAGTACAACGCCCATATATATCTTTCAAAGCTATGACGCTCCTGTGGAGACGATGTTGTTTGTGAACACTGGTCTGGGTCACGCACGATGCTATCTTAACCTGCATGCAGCATCAATGCCCCGTCTATAGCACAGGCACTTGAAACGTCTCAATAAAAAAAAAATCTAAACGCAAAATGTATTTACTACCAAAGTCTTAATGTTTCTCTACTCTATTTCGCCTATTATTGCCGATAATTACGCGTAAATGCCGGTCAAATGCTCATCTGTAACACACAAGTACACCGCACGCCCGCCCTGTGCACAAACAACATGAATAAGAGAGGCTCGTGCGGTGTACTTGTGTGTTGCAGATGAACATTTGACCGGCATTTACGGGTAATGTTATATATATATATATATATATATATTCTCTCTCCCTACACACACACACACACACACACACACACACACACACACACACACACACACCAGAGTCAACACTCGTGCCTCCGCAGTAACTACCTGCGAATCTACAATATATCACTTATACCCACCACCATAATCTCATCACTGCAGTCGCCCCCGTCTATGAGGATAACTCAAGAAATGTGCCAAACGCGTCCTTTACAGACAGCTAGCTGTCTGCTTTATAGAGATGGATTTCTGTTTAACTGACGCTCAATGGAATCGTCAAAAGGGTCCTTTATAGATATAGGCGTTCGTTTCATAGCGGTGTCCCCAGGCTTTACTGTTTTATGCTGTTGATCTATTTGTGCTACAACCAATACGAGCAGGTCCTGCGAGCTGAATTAACCCAAGAGATGTAACACAATGTATATATATACCGCCTCCGCGATGGTTCGTGATATAATTGAGTATTTGTAATTAATAGACTAATAGTACACGCAGTCTACGACAGAGTGAGCCATGCAGCGGTATATATATATATATATATAGTGGCTGGTCTAGTGGCAACCGGCAGTTAGATGCGATATGATATGACTACTAGGCACTTTAATTTAATTTAATTTTTTTTTTTAGGGTTAGGGTTAGGGTTTAGGTTAGGTTTAGGGTTTAGGTTAGGTTAGGGTTAGGGTTAGGGTTTTTTTTGTTTTGTTAAGTGCCTAGTAGTCATATCCTAAGTGCCTAGTAGTCATATCATATCGCATCTAACTGCCGGGTGCGGTCTAGTGAGGGCAACCACGCAGCATCGGAATGTGACGCGCTATTTTTATGCTAATATCGGAACAAAACAAGTTTGGCCGGACCGTGGCTCATCTCCAGGGCAGACCGTGACAGTGTTTGTGACGAGTGAAAGAAGCATCATGGCACGTACTCATATATATATATATATATATATATATATATATATATATGGAGGCTCAGGATATAAGTGACTGGGCTGAAACAATGGCCTAGTGAGAGGCACGCGAGCATATACAGCGGAGAGAGCCATTACACGAAGGCAGGTGCGAGGTCAATGATTTCGATGCCATCAGCCGGTAATCCAATGATCCCTGATATAATCCACGCACGTATCGTACGTATAAGTGCGGCACTATAAGGCTAGCATAATGCGGCATGACCGGACACACATGATGCTCCGATGGGCAGTAGTTGGGGGTTATAGCGAATATCACGAATGTATCAATATAGTTAGGTATATATAGGTAACAATTAATGTCTAGATCAGTTCGTGCGAGTATAGCCTATCATGTTTATCCGTACCTGTCATTTCAATAATCTCTCATAATTCATCTTTCGAACCTCTTGCCTTCATCGTGTGCTTTGTATTGTATTGTACTCTACGCTATATACTAGACTGTTTCATCGTCAGATATTGCACTCAATTTACTATACAACGGTCTGCTATAGTATTTTATACGGCAGTTTATATTGGTTAAATTGCTATGCATTCAATAGTCGAATAATGTATTTTCATCTTTCTAGTTTACCTTGTATTTCATATATAACTAGGCTGACTATATATCTGAAGGATTATCAATTAATTCCGTGTATGTATCGTGTACGATTTATTCACGATTAAAATAGAGCGCAATGCGGTGTACTATAATCGTATACAATATTTCACTGTGCCATATTTCTTTTCGAACAGGCCCATACTTTTGTCTAGACATGTTGGGTTAATGTTGTTGAAGTTTCAGCCCGGCTGAGCGGTCCTAGAAACAGCTAGGGCGTATGGTTCAGTCACATCCATTTTTAGAATTTGGCTGTAACATACTTCACGCGACATACAGACCGCGATTACCATCGTTCCAAATGTAACATCTCTATCCAGATAAGGAAAATGAATTACTAACTCGGGTTATATATTGTATCCATGCATGACTGGTGTGACTACGTACAGTCAACTCTAGCTGTGTGTAAGTGTCACGCAAGAAATAAACCCCAAATTGTATAGACAGGCCTTTCGGCTAAAAAGGCTAAAAAACTACCTGGCTTTACCCAAGCTAGGTCACACCCCATGGCTAGCTATAGCCCGTTGCATCGATGCCAAATTTGGATACTGCAACGTACTACAACAGAAACAGGCTCCCGTTCTACGCAAATGGTTTCACTGTATAACTGCCACGCAAGGGAAACGCAAGGTGTCCTCCTATATCGACAGGTGTTCGTTCATTGGAGTAATTCGTTCCTTCGAGGTTGTCCGCTAGTACATCTTTGACTGTTGTCGCTTTAAATGAATGCACTCAGACGTTAGTGGTACTGGAAGGACCCGGCCGCTCCTATTACAGCTAGCTGGGATACATTCGCGGCGACTGTGCGCGTGAGGTGCCACCGCCTTTACCCGCCCGTGGAATGTCGACTCGAGCGATCAACGGCACCCGGAGCAAAGCGACTAACCCTGAATAGGACCGCGGTGCTCGCATACCCACCGTGCTTCGCTTCGCTAGGCACACTATACGTTAACTCACATGCGAGGAAAGAGGGGCGGAGAGTGAGTGGGTGAGTGTGTGGGTAGGTAGATACAGGCGGGCGGAGAAACTGGTTTTCGGTGCCCGCGGTCAGTCGCGCTCAGACGGTAAGACAGTATACTAGATGGTGGACCGAGCAGCAAACACTGCCAGGAGATACTGTAATGTGCCTGTGACAACTCATCTCTGCAATCCCCCGGATATTAATTAGCACCTGCAAGGTAAGTACACGCTAGGTAACTTAATCCGATGAAGATGTTGGCTATGTCAGTGACGATGACGATGATAGTGATGATGGTGTTGGCCATACGTCAGCGACGTTGACTATGATGATGATGATGGTGTTTTGCTATATTAGCGACAATGACGATGACGATGCCGGTTCTATGTCGGCGACAATAACGACGTCGATGTAGTTGGTTATATTAGCTACGATGACGATATCGTTGGTTATATTAGCTACGATGACGATGACGATGTCGTTGGCTATATTAGCTACGATGACGATGACGATGTCGTTGGCTATATTAGCTACGATGACGATGACGATATCGTTGGCTATATTAGCTACGATGACGATGACGATGTCGTTGGCTATATTAGCTACGATGACGATGACGATATCGTTGGCTATATTA